AATGATTACAAACCAGATAAAACAGCTTTGTTAAAAATTCGAAAGATATGAAGTTCAATATTTAGTGAAGTGCAAACCATTAAAAGAACAAAGCAAAACCAATTAATATGACATCGAAAGAAATTTGGCAATAAACCATGTGCCTGTGATAGATATTATCTTTTTGAAAATCAAGTCATCTATGGCACATGGGCACATCCAGTTGGAGAATGCAGTTTAAAAAGTTGGTTATTGTTTAGGGAACAGACACCAAGGTCAAAACTTTCAATTGTCTGAAGATGTTGAACATTATCAGGATGCATCAATGACAGACACATTGATGCTACTGCATTTTATAGACTGCCTTAGACACAAAACTAATAAATGCTTACTTGCCATACCCTATATCAATGTTGGTTATTGCAAATGAAAACAATAGGAAAATTGCAAGTACTGTGGTTACCTTGATATGACTTTTTGACAAGTCTGTAAATGACACTTCAATTAAAATATTATCTCAGTCAAGAAAGAATTGTTGATAGGAGAAATAATAATGGGTCATGCCAACAACATATTTCACTCTTCCAGGACACAAAGCAGTCATAGTGGTGGCTAAATTTGAGTTCCAGAAGAAATTGCGCAAGAACTATAATTTTCTGCCCGATCTTATGATGTAGATCTGTTCAAGCACTTTCAAATTGCTTGAACAGACGTCTACACCATAATAACTGAATTTGCTTTAAAAACTAGTAGTATACAATGAGGCTAATTTTAAGGGCATTGGTGGTATATATGCCTACCAATTTAATCATTAATGATGAGAGAGTGGGTTGGTGTAATGGTATCCATTGTAGTTCTCGATCTTATTCATGTTTGACTACACCAGTTTGCTCTACACCATGTAGATATCTACTACCACCAACATCTACCGGTACATTTTTTTTTTATTATTGTTACTTCGCCATGCAAACTCTTAAACAATAATATCTAATGAAATAATTTCAAGTTTCAAATGTGTAGATGGCAGAGAAGAATAGCATGACACAAGTTTCATTGTTCTAACAAGATATGTTGATCTGCTGATTAAGGAACTTTTATGTAATTTCTAGATTAATACCGGAGTGGCTGATATTGTAAAAACACTTGACATGCATCTGAAAAAATTTCAGTCATTTTGAGTAAAGACAGTTGGCATCCGTTCTTCATGTGAATATCACCATTGGACTGGTTAATGTGTTATTAAGTTCGTAATAAAATCTTTTTCAATCGACATATTTACTTTTTTTAATAATGCAGTTTTCATACATGCTAACATTTTGATAGTAAAAAACGGGGGAATTTGGTCATGGGGTGGGGAGAGGTGTTCCCATTACATGTGTAACCCCTCCCCTTGGAGGCTTCAGCTATTAATGTATTATAAGGGCAAATCTCATGATTCTTATGATATGTACAGTATTCCAATAATAAAAGTACGGTATTGATTTAAAATAATTTGTGTGTTTAATTGAACCACATTTTGTCTGGTGTCTACACAAGACAAAATGTGCCTACAGGCTATGTCTATATGGATTAATTTCCCATTTTCTAGCCCCTTTTCAGTACAAGATACAAAATCTGGATGCAGTACTTGTCTAAAAGTGCGTTTTCTATAATTACTGGACTGGTATTTTAGCAACTGCAACTTCATGTCCAATTATTCAACATAAGGTCTGTTCCATTTTCCGTAGTGTGTTATTACTAAAAGACTACAATTAACGTATAATTTTTGTACACTGGAAGAGCGCAAAAAAACGTGAGAAAAATTGGCCTGTGGTCAGAATACCAAAACAGGAGTCTCCCAGCCAAAGAGGGA